ATATTAAAAGGTGATCCATGTTCTATTTTTCTTTCCACAGGATAAGTGGACAAAAAAGATAATTAAGATAGGGGATGTAGAATTCAGATTTCTGAAGAACTGTGGAAGGTGAGTGAGTGATGTTTCCAAGAAGTAGTCCAGATCCATTGACATCCACATTTTACAGTTTGAGAATTTCCAGTCTTTTAATCAATGGCATACTTTGAAAGCTTAGAGATTTGATTAAAATATTAAAATGTTTAAAATGATTTTTTCCCAGATGTTCATTGACAACTGTAAACCCTGCAACAGGAGAAAAAGAAGGAAATGAACCCTTAGCTACTCTGCAAAGGTAATTTCTTACTTGTTAATAAAGGTACGTATTGCTTGTCCTCTACTTTGTTGACTGCTATTTAACAGTTACCCATGGCCAGAGAGTCAGAAAAATTTCTTTTGCTGAGAGAAAATTTTTTATTGTATTTAGAAAAAAGTTTCTTGTGGATGCATCAGAAAAAAAGCTCAGTGAGTTCATCTTAGGAAAATTGGTTTTCTATTTTAGTTTTACCAATTGGCTTCTTGTAAAAGCCAATTTCATATTGGGAAAATTGTTTTCAGTCAAAAGCCATTGGCCACAGCTTGATAGCATGACTATGAAAAGTAGATAGCAGTTCTGGGTACAAGTTGATAAAGGGGGTAAGTTTCTAAAGAAACTGTGGGAGAGTATAACAAAGTAGTTTGGTATTATGAACCAAATTGATAACTTAAATTGGCCACTGTAAAAAGTATCCAAGCTAATGTTTTGAGTGTTAAGCCCTTCATCAGAGCAAAGGATGAAGGAGGAAGGGCTAATGCTCAAAATGTGGCCAATTTATGTTTACCTGATTGATAATATCAAATTACATTGATACAAGTTAAATAACAAATTATGAGGGGATCATGGCAAGTAACTGCTTTAATCAATGTGTCTTTTCACAGGATAAGGCTCCCTGAGGACAGAGATCCCAGGCAGGGAAAAGCTCCTCTTTTTGGAGTACAGTTTGCCCTTGATGGAGATAGGATAGGGGTTGTAAGGATAGGAGATATAGTGATGGTCTCTGCATGACTGGAAAATTAAGTAGTGTTGGCAGCTCAGCATGCCTTGAACTAATTAAAAAAGTAGTTTGTGGTAATATAATGCTGGACCATATATTTCATGCATACTATTTTTTT